ACCCCTGTTATTAGGAAGATCTGAGAGAGTAGGAAAGCTGGAGGGGCCAGGAAAGGCAACAAAGAGTGGCCTGAGACAAGGACTAAACAGGACAGGCTGCTAATGAGGCAATTAGCTGCACCTGATCCGTGGGTGCAGATTGAATCATGTGGCCAGAAGGAGACTAGGTTTGGGGCTATAAATGCAGTCTCTGACCATGCAAGGGGCAGCCTCTGCATGCAGCAGGGATAGTAACTCCTGGGAGACAGAAGCAGCTGGAGATGGACAGGCAGCCACCCAGGGGAGCTGGGGTGAAATGATTCTGATGGAGGTAGGGTCTTTGGGCAACATTTAGGGAGGGAGACTATTTGTTTTTCTGAAGCAGCTGGTTTGTGTTTTTGCCCTGTTTGAACTTGAGACAGGAGGACTAAGTTGTGACTACAGGGTAGAGGAGATCATGAGCAGAGGTGCCTGGGTGGCACTCCCCTGATATAGATGCAAGAAGCTAGCCCCAAGTCATAAGGGCTGAGACTGGAGATGAAAAAAAACCGAGGAGGGGCAGCCACCAAGATGGGGTGAATACCTGGGAGCTGAGGTCTTAAACAGTGGACTAAGGCTGAGGGTGCAGACAGAAAGGGCACTAAGGCTGCCATAGCTGAAGCCCTGAGAGGTGCTCAGAAGTCTCTGGGGGCACTCCCTTGAGGGAGAGCACAGGCCCCAAGTGGCAAGAAAACAGGCCCTAGGCAGGCAAGAAAACCAGTGAGGGTAGTCCTGGTGCAAGGGACTGTCTCCACCAAAAACAAGCAAAATACAACCAAAGTTGTGGCAGGTGAGAGACTTTCCTCACCAAAGTTGTGGCGAGGTGGAGTGAGAAAAGAGCTGGGAGACAGATCGGACCACAGGGGGCAGGCAGGTGCCAGGGTGGCAGTCCCCCTCCCAACCTTTCCCCCAAAGGTAACACAGAGACACACAACTAAGAAAGCAAGGAAGTAGTTATATAAAGGGGCTGCCATCAAGCTGGTTGCGCAGGGCTACTGTTCTGAGGACAGACAATCTGACTTGGGGGACAAATTTATGCAGTTTTTAGTTTTATGGGGTAAGATTGAAGAAGAGGGTATGGAAATGGAATTAATAATGGGGTTATTAGGCAGCAGAAGACTGGGAACAAATTAAATTTTGGACTGTGAAAAATAATTTAGTCACATGAACTACTAAGTATTGCAGACTATTTTTGAAAGAGGCCCTTGTTAAACTTTTGGCAGCACTTTACTGAGGGTGAGGCCCCATACGCCCTGTTAATCTTTACTGGGGCCCCAAACATGTGAGATTTCCCCATATGGAATGTGAGAGAAGGAAAGGTTGAGCATGCTGTAAGAGTCCTACTTCTGTATGCTCTTCTTCAGAGCCTGATATAGCCCCTAAAGTGTAATGATCTCCCAGTTCATCCAGTAACACCTACTGAGCAGCATTCCACTAAGCTGGGGCAGCAAAGGCCTGCAACACAGTGCAGAAAGGGCTGCGACACAAAAAGCTAGATCCAAACAGATTACCAGCTACTTAACTGAAAGACAAGTTGGGCGGGGTTGGGGGAGGGGGACCGGGACGAGAAGGCAAAGCTACACAAGTGTCTACACTTGGCAACCACATTGAACCAGATCTTGGACATCCCATCCATTATTAACTCCTGCCTCTTCCTCAGGAGTCACAGAAGGTCTTGACACATGGGGCAAGACCAGCATGCATAGCGTTAATGTAGTGAATGTAGCCCCTCTGTGTGTGTCATGGCTTAAGGTCTACCCAACTCAAGGCAGCAGCCGGATGATTTCATGGGTAGATCATGGGGCCAGCCACCATTTTCACAGGCTTATCATGGTGCCCACCCACCCCAAACAAGAGTCCCAGTGACCCCGCCCCTCACTGCTGATTGGCAGAGAGGGATGTCTGTTGTGTGGCCCCACCCCTTGTCACTGATTGGTGGAGCGAGGCAGGGCCATATGACTGGAAGCCCTCTCAGTCAATTCATGGCGAGGGGCAAGGGCAGCAGCTATCTGCCTGTGTGCCTTCGTGATAGCAGCTCCACTTGTGATGGGCTGTACAGCTAGGAGGACTACTAGTTCCCACTAGGAAGTCAGCATTTTTTTTAGTAAGTTTCTTTCCCCACCCTCCATGGCTTTTGCAGAGACTGCCCAATTTCATGATTTCTGCAAAATCCACGAAATTGCAATTTGAGTAGGTCCTTAGTCACGGCTCATTCTGGGCCATAGCAAAGAACAGGCTCAAAGCCGTTCAAAGGCAGGAATAAGACAGCAGATCCTTCATTACACAGGCCTACTGGCCATTCCCTTTTCATCAGGATTAAGTTACCAAAAGAATAAAAGCTAAAACAGAGCAATCTGACACGGAATTCTTGCCCATCAACCCTCCCAGTTAAAAATCAATGAAGCTTAAAAAAATGTTTCTTCAGAAAACAGATTTGTTTTTTGTCTAACATTATTTTTCAGTTTGCAGGCTTCCAATGAGAAAAATCTGTTTTCACTCAACTATTTTCTAATTGTCCAAGCTGGTAACGTTTTGGTTTTTCCAAAGTTTTCCATTAAAATAACACACTTTCCTATTAGTTTTATATAGTAGCCAAGGGAGCTGGAGCAGTGGCTGCAGTCAGGGTAGAAAACATTTTCACTGGCGTTCCAGTATATCAGGCTGCTTGGAAGCTTGATTTGTCCCCAAATTAATTGTCAGCCAGCATAAAAATTCTGGAATGTTTTGTAGTGAACTTTTTCCCATATATGACTTCAGCTAAGCTCATTGGCTCACTGCCAGTCTAAACAAAAATCCTTATGAAATTAGTCTGAACTTTGAAAGATACAGAAATAAGAGTCTTCCAAAACTGAATCTGCACAAAACATAGAAGAAACAGATAGAGCCACTAAATTATGACAAACATGGAGGAGTTATTCTTTTTATAGATTTTCCACTACACTTGTGATCTATATTTCTTAGTCTATTATCTATATCTTTTTAATGGTTCCTTCAAGAAGTGTATTTTTATAAATTATAGCAGTCTTATTAGGAAAACATTATGACATAACATACTTTAAAATACCCTTCTCCAAAAAACATTGCATCAAGTACCATGCCATCCAAAACACTAGAAAACTTCACTTACCTACACGAGAAAAATAACTCGAGGCATAACTTTGTCATTTATAAGAAAAGATCATCAGCTTGGTATGCAGACATGTTCTTCTATTTATCCCTCTGCTCCTCCCCCTCACCCTTTTTTCTTTTCTTAATATATTCTTAAAGATAGGTATTTCTACTACACTTGGTTAAGTGCATTTTATGATGCCACATGATGAAATTATCAGGGTCTTATTCCATATAAGTGTTATGTAAAGAATAAAGCAAAAATGCAACTAACACACTGACAATTGCAGGTACAGCTAGATGCTGATGGAAAAAGATGGAAAACTCTTTTGCTAACCTTTATTTATTACTGGGAAAAAACAGTATTGGATTTACTGGCACAGCTTGTAAAAATAAATATACACAGTAAATCTGGGATGTGAAGTTACACCGACTGCTGGTTAAAAACCTCTGCTATAGAAATCTGATCTGAATTAGTCACCACAGCAGCAAAATTTGGCTCAGTGAATCTTAAGCGAACTTGGGATGCCTGCTCCCTCAAATCAGTGGAGATAAGGGTCTCATGGTTCCCGGAAAATGAGGTATTGGCTAGTCTCCAAGCCTCCTTGCAGGCTTATCAGTATGGCAGTAACAGAGGCTGCAAAAGTATTGTCTTGTTACTCTCAGGTATTGTGCATGTGTGATATGGAGGGAATGGCAAGTTTTTAAACTGAGAAACCAAACTAAAAATAACAATGAAAAATGGGCATCGGTCCATATTCTGTTATATGAGATAACTTGGCAGGAACATGTGTTCATGCTTTATTTCCAGGAAGTCTCTTTTTAAGCATTAAACTTAATATTAGAATTGTTTAAGTTCGTCCTGCTGTCTTGAGCCAGGGATTGGACTAGATGATGTCCTAATGCCCCTTTCAGCCCCATTGTCCTTTGATTCTATGAAGTTTCTTATGTGGCGCTGAACCCTGAGCAGCACCAAATATACAGAATAGTTATCTGTGTGTGAAAATCAGCTATTGATTTTGATTAAACAACATAGCAAAACTAAGGTATCTGATGACAGAAGTTACGCTCGGGTATGAATGACATGAATATAATTTTTCTTTAAGAAGAAACAAAATACCATTTTCTTCCACAGAGCGCAGAATTCAACCAAACTTCCTATCCATTTCTTCCGTTATTTATATAGACTTTCTGTAAAGTATTAAAATCACATTGGTCCTTTTCTGCAACATGCTTCATAGCCTGAGGTCAACATGTCTAAAGATCATCTAGGCTACAGCCTGCAACCCTACTCTCCAAGCACAATGCAACTTTCTATCATGAGGGTACAATTCATCCATGAAAGAGTTTCCTCAGACAACCAGCCTGAAACTGTAGAATGAAGTCTCATAGGAAATAAACAGTATCACAAACCTCACCACCTTCTGCTGCAAGTACCAGATGCCTTCTTAAACTCACATCTGTTTAAAAAAACCCAAAAAACAAAGCGCTACCAAAACAAAAAAGACAGCCTGCACACATAATTCTCCACCATGGGGAGAGAATGAGAGAAGGAAGCATATTAGTCATGCCACTTAATGTCTATTAAGAGACATTAAGAGAAGCCTTTTCTGTGGTAATAGGGGTAGTATAAAAAAAACCTGTCAGAAAAGAAATGATTTGATCTCCAGAACTAGAATGAATAACTGTTTGGTTAAAACAACAAGCAACTGATGGAAGAATTGTTCCCAAGTTGAAAGTTGGACGACTGGGCAGATCCAGACTGTGGCTTTAAATCTTGAAATCTTAGTCGCATCAGTCTGTAAACCAGTTTCAGCGATGAATGGATTCTGGATTACTGATAAAAATTCAGTAATAATTTATTTATTTCTTACCTAAATAGTGATGCTCATGTCCGAGGCCTACGTTGAGTCTCCTGTTTTCATGAACTATAACTGCATATCCATGCTGTGCCAGGATGCGCTGGTATAGCTGAAGTTCTCTCTTACTGTGGGAACGTGGAACACACAGAACTGCTCTTTTTGTATGGCTTCCAAAGGACTTAAAAATGGAGTCTTCAACCTAACAAAATGAAAAGACAACACCCTTAAGACAAGAAACCCTTCACTATTATAAGATATTGCTGTCACTTTTCATAAAATATGCTATTATCTTACTGGGAAGTATGGGGGATAGGTCTACATGCAGCCTATAAATTCTGTCTGATACTGGGCCTCAGCGTTTGTGTCATACTCCAAATTATCCCTGCTGTTGGCCTTTACCTCCATGATGGACTGATATTCCACAGGTAATGGCACAGTGGTAACAATGGAAATTCATTAAACTGTGATGGTCCTGCATGATCAGAGCTGCCCACACTCCCAAAAAGTCATCCTGCCCCGTGAGCTGGTACCTGCAAAACAGATTACCTGAAAGGGGACACTGATTCCTGAAGAAGGTTTGGACACGGGGACCGGAGGTTATGAGAGAGAGGATTTCTCACTGACTGATCTACTGAGTAAAGACTAGAAATAGATTGTAGGAGCGAAAACAAAATCCACATGCATGAGGAAAATGGCAAAGGAGGGCTTCTGGACTCCTTAAAAGATTCAGATTAGAGTCCAAAGAACACTCCACAGTGGTGAGAAAATGCAGATAAAAGTTTTATTGCTTAGTTGGGCTCTTGCTGTCTAAACCGAACTTGGTTTATCTTTTTTTTTTTTTTAATTTTTTATATTTGTCTTTATATACTTCAGTTTTCACTTGTCCTTAAAGAGGAAGTGCAAAATTAAGCACATGCTTTCCCAGAGAATAGATGTCCTTAAACCAGTGGTTCTCAACCTTCTTATACCCAAGGCACCCCTCAGAAAATGCCAGCATCAGTCTCGGGGTGAAGGAGCTGGACCGTGGGGCCTCAGTTCTCAGAACAGGGGGAGGAAGAGAGGGGAGGGGGCACAGGGCAAGGAAAGGAACTGACCGCCTGCCTAGAAACTCAAATACAGCACCTGAACTCTACTCATTTTCAAGAAACATATAACAAACAGAACCCAAAAGCTGAATGATTTTCCAGCAGCAAGAGACTTATGAGGACCACAATTCTGAGAAATGGGGATGTTGAAGAATACAAAGAGTAAAACTTGATTTTTTTTGGTCTTGCATATTTGTCAGCCCCAGAATCCACAGAATACACAGACCACCAGGCCAGAGAAGCAGAACCAAATACAAGATTAAGCAAATTTTCTCCTGCTGCTCTTTTAACTACCAACATCTGAGGATATATGACTAGCTTAAGCTCCCTGCAGTAAAAGGGTTCTCTACTAATCAGCTGCTGTGGGAAGACGTGGAGGAAAGATGAGAGGTGGCTGAGACTTCTGGCCCAGTAATTCAGGCACAAGATCTCTCAAAATATAGAAGTCTCTCAAAGGCTAGATTTTTTAGCTTCTCAGGTAAGGTCCACGTCCATGTTTGTGCTTTGAACAAGACCAAGCACAGAACCAACGCTTAATTTAAAATAAACAAAAAAACCCTTTTATGTTATAATTTATAGTATGTGGAAAGTGAAGTCAATGGGTCAGAGGGAACATGACCAGTAATGGCCCATATGTATTACCCAGTACAATTGATATCAAGTCTGAGAGGCAACATGGAGAGCCAAACAGGTAGGCAGGTGGTGTAGAGAGCAGGATTAAGCAACTGAAAAGATAAGCAGGGAGTCCACACAAACGTGGCAGGAGGGGGAAGATTCTAGCTGTAGGTAAGTAGTGGCAGCAATCCTATTCTGCCTTTTTACATAGCCATGCTCATGTACACCATGAACTCAGAAACATGGATGGGCAGCAAAGCAGGGTGATACCTTTCTGTGACTCCCTAGAGGTATTCCCTTCCATACAGAGGTTGATGTCAGCAGCCTTTAGGGGTAGCCATCCTCCTCCACTAAACCCAAACAGTCTACATACAGAATCTGTGCTTGATGGGAAGAGAGCAATCTCCCCCCACCTCCAAAAACTGGACAACTTCTGAATTTGGTATTTATTTTCTGAATAGGCTAATTCTCTGATTACTAATCTTGGGAAAGAATGAATTTCATAATCTAGAATCAACTCCTGTGGAAGCTGTCTCCCACACTCCTGATTTGAACTTTCTTGGCTGCAAGTTTCATTCCTCTAACTGACCACGGGTGCCACAGGGCACTACAAAAGTAATCAGATGCTAATAGTTTTCTAGTAACAAGCCGTTTTTACACAGCACCTTATTTGGGAAAGGGAAAATATACACATGCTGTGAACTGCATAGGGCAAAAAAAATTAAATTTG